CCCCAAAACCCCAAAACCCCAAAACCCCAAAACCCCAAAACCCCTTTGAAGCTCTTATATATTGAAATTATGAGAAAAGATCATCGATGCTTTGCACATTGTTGGCTGAGGCAGGCTGGCTTACAGTGTTCATACTTCCTCCAAACATTGGGTTCCCTTTTTTGAAGGGATTTCCCTTTTTAGGTGCATCTCCGAAATAACCGCCACTCATGCCTCCAAGGTTGTTTGTGGTAGAAAACATATTTTCATTAACAGGGTTGGGCGGAGCCATTCGGGAATTGGAGCTCGAAGAAGCCTGGCTGAAGAAATCATTAAATTCGTTATTCGAAGGTGCTAATCCTCCTCCAATCATATTATTAGTCTGGAACATATTTGGGTTGTTTATGTTAGCTGATTTAGACGTCTTAGAGAAAGGATTCTTCTTTCTTTGTTTCGGAGCTATTGTATTAAATCCCCCTGATAGGTGTCCTGAACTATAACCAGATGAATTATCAGCTGCAGCAAATGGGTCAACTGGGACAAGCATGTTATTTGCATTAGGCATATCATTAGTAGGTCCTTGATACCCAAACTTGTTATTGAAGTCATTTCTTTGGGGAGGAGGACCTTGAGATGTCTCAAATCGGTTCATCATTGCTGGATTTTGAGTATTACCTATTCCTCCGAAATTAGAATTCGGAACCACAGTGTTGAAATCTTGAGCCTGAGGAGGATTACCATAATTTTGGGATATCCCAGAGCGATCAATAACTCTTGGTTCTGACGACATTTGTGAACTGTTGGCACTCATCATATTATTAAATCCTGATCTATTTGAAGGAGGACCATTAGAGAAAGGTTTGCCAAAAGAATCGCCTCTCATTATACCTTCATTAGGATCGGGTCTAGGCGGCCCTGACATTGCTGTATTAAATCCACCTGAAGGTGGGTAGTTTTGAGGCTTAGGAGGAGGCTGTCTTTGCTTGGTGTTTATTCCACTTGGTTGGTTTTTCATACCTCCAAAGTTGTTGCTAGGATTCATCATATTATGCATTTCATCATTTCTTCCTCGACTCTCGTTACTCGGAAAACCTCTAAATGAATTATTCTGACTTCCTGAAGAGGAACTTGGAATGCCTCTGTTATCAAGTGCTCCAAGTCCAAAGTTCTCCTTTAGTTTGTTTTGAGGGGGAGGCAATTTATTAGAGCTTGGTTCATCATTTAAATTTAGGTCACCAAGGTCAATATTAATATCATCAAATGCAAAATTGCTTTCATTCTGTTTTTGAGGAGGCTCTTTGGTTCCCATGTTGGAGAAACCATTACCAAAATCTCCAAAGTCTCCGAAGTCTCCAAAGTCATCATTATTAGATACAGGCTGATCGGCTTGAGAAGGATTCTCACTAAACTGTGGGAAAGAATCCTCTACAAAAGGATCATTAAAATCCCTAGCACTACTCTGTGATTGAGGAGGATTACCATGAGAAGAGTCACCACCGATATGGAATAAGTTTAGCCTTTTGCCTTCAGCAGGATTTTTGTTTGGCTTATTGTTGAAAGTACTAGACATAAGATCCCCTCCAAGCCCAATCCCTGAAAATGGATCATTACTGCTATTCTGATTAGCCTTTTGAGGTGTCATAAAATCAGGTGGGTTCATAATTTTTGGTGGGTTTGACATACTAGAATCTTCAATACTCAACTGGCCATTTCCTCCGAAAGGAGGATTCATCATATTAGGTCGCTTCATTTCTTCGAACCGATTCATATCTCTTGGTGGGTTCATTCCTTCGAAATGGTTCATCTGATTATCCTGATCAATCTTGCTTGGAGGGTTACTAAAGTCTGGAGGAGAAGGAACTCTCTGAGGAGTCATAAAATCAGGAGCTCCCATAATGTCATGAGAAGGCTTTCTTGGTTTCCCAAAATCCGGTGAACTTCCAATAAAATTCATGTTTGCCGGTTTTGCTGATGAAGTGAAGCTTGACTCACCAAAGTCTCCTGAACTTGTATGAGTTTGGATATTAATCGGGAGTTTCGATTGATGGTTTTTGAAAGCCTCAAGGCTAGATTTATCCAAGGATGGGGCATTAGGATCAAAAGAAATATTTTGGTTTTTCTTCTTCCTTCTTTTCTTCTTCTTTTTAGCCGAGCTCTTTCCAGCTGAATAACTGTTTTGATTTAGTGAATTATCCATTCCAAATCCTCCTAGACCACTACTTGAGGTTGGTGCTATACTTTCACTATTCATTGCATTCTCTTCTTCCTTTAGTCGATCTAACGTTTCTTTCAGTTTAGTCGTTGGTGCACCATATGATTTCACTTGATATGGATCATTTGCTGGCTTCTTTACTGGAGTGGTTACTTCCTCATCAGGTTTAAAATTAGTCATAGAATTATTTACTTCTCTCTTGATCTTTTTAGCATCTGCAACCACTCGTTTCTTTCTTGCTTCAAAGTAATCCTTATCTTTGTGGCCGATCTCTCGAGTCTTGATTCTATCTAGATTCTCTTGGGCGCTATGTTTCTCCAGTTCAGTTTGTAGCTCATATTTTTGAAGATGAACCCTTCGGTTTACTTCTGGATCGTACTGTCTTTTCTCCCTCTCTTCTCTCTTTTGGGGGTCAGGATCTATTCTTTGGAACTCGTTTTGGTGATTAGGCTTATTCCATTTTATTTTACTCTCACTTCTTGGTTCTTTTCGAGCAGAAGTTCTAGAATTTTTCTTGGGTTTTGGTCTAGTTTTAATATAATGTAGGAGACTTACTCGTGCTTTCGAGAAGAGTCTGATTTAGCAGATTCACTCATATCTAATTTAACCTCTTCTTCGACAACTTTATCAAAGTTTTTATTATGAGTTGGCTGATACCTTGTAGGTCTTTTACCTTTTTGAAGTTGTTTGAACCTTCTCATTGTTGACTGGCAGTCGTCATTTACTTTAATAGCATAGTCTAGTAGCTCTGATTGGCTGATACTTGAAATTGATTCTACCAATGCTGATTCCGAGGTTTTCAATGCGCTAACAACATCGGTTAGAAGATCAATTCCTTCTCTGTTGCCTGGCTCAGCAGCATCGATCATTGAGTTGGCTAAATCCATACTTTCAACAATATTATCTATTTCTAGTTTCTTCTGTTGTTCTTCAGGATTTAGGCTGACTTTCTTTTTCTTGATGATCTTTCTCTTTTTCTTCTTTCTTGCAGATGATTGATCTTGTACAGGTACTTCATCTAACGAAGATTGTTTTACACTCGAGCCATTCCTAGAGCTTTCATTATTTTGTTTAGATGGAGTGCTGCTAGGAAGTCCCAATTTTGACCTAGCTTTACCTTCATCTGGGAATTCATCCATTCTACCTTTTAGAGCCATATAAATTTTATAAAAGAGAGGGTACTCTTGGCTGTTTTCAAATCTCAGTCCCCATTGTTGGATTAAATCAAGTATTTTCTTCTTTACTTGGTCAACACTTTCTTCTTTACTGAGGATGACAACGAGGCAGTTTAGGAAACCTTTGCTGCCTATATTTTTTCAATGAAGGAGTCATCAAGTTTCTTCATGAGTTTGTCCAATATAAATCATCAGAACATCTGAACCTTCGCATTTGGGTGATCGAATCTTTGACCAAGTGTTTTTACTGCTTCTCCTCAATCATCAGGATTATCTCTTAAATATGTTATAATCTTAGCAATTAGCTCTTTGTTTGGCTTCGAAAGCGACTCTTCAGTTGCATTTAGAATCTGTTTTGATATCACTCCCATTTTTATTCCTTTTTATTCAAAATTTGGTCTAAAAAATGGGGTTTTGGGGTTTTGGGGTTTTGGGGTTTTGGGG